CGAGCTGGCCAAGCCGTAGGCTAGCCAAGGACGGCCACGCGCACACGGTCCCGCGTAGGCGAGCACGAGGCGGTTGGACAATTCAGGCGGATGCGACGATGGTGGTGGCAGAGTGGCTGGGCCCGCCAGGCGCGACGTGCGCGTGCAGCACGAGACGCTTGGCAGAGCGCGGCCACAGTGGTGCGTGCGGCGCGTGCGTGTGTGTGCGTGGCGTGCTAGGGCACAGCAACGATGGCGCGGCTTGTAGCGCGGGGCCAGTGGCAGGGCTGGCCAGCGCGGTGGCCCACGCGTGGCGCACGCGTTGGGCAGCTTGCACGGCGACGATGAGTGCCGGAGTGGTGATCGCGCCCAGACACTACAATTGGCCGGGAAAAGTAACTTGCACGCTTTTTAAAGCTGCCCAAAAACCCAACTCGATGATCCAGTTGCTAAACCAACTATTTTACGCTCGAGATGGTATATAAAGCGACTAAAACAAACCCTTAAACCGTGCCACTACCTAACCCTATCCTCCTATAAAAATTGTCGAACTCAGCTTCGTCGACCCATTTTTAGACTTGAGAAAAGTGACTAAGTTTCGATCGGTTTTGCGTCAACTTCGATTTCCACGCTACCAATTAAGCTAGCTAGTGACTCCCGTTCTCGACCGTGAGTATTTCACCGTCACCTACAAAGCTTGTACTATGAACTTTATTAAAGATTCGCATATACGTTTTATAGCATTTTCGTTCAATAAAAATCCATTTAGGACACTAAGTGATACAACGCGACATGTAATGTAACATTCGTTTCATGTTTTCCGATGAACGTTTCAAGTTATGTATATTGCTTTACACTCTATAATTCATACATGTACACATAAGTATGATGCTCATGTAGTGTTTTAGCAAAAAGCTGTACAGTGTAACACCGAGGGTGTTACAAATAGTCTTTCGTCTCCATCCACTGAATAGGTCCTTATCTCCTTATCTGTATTGGGCTTCTCTCCCTAATATCTTAGACTTCATCCTACGTCGTTGTCCATCCAGAGCCAACCACTTTCTCCACCGTAGTCGCTCGCTGACCGCCTCCCTCTCCACCGCACCCTTCACCAGCTTCGCTCGCTCTCCCTCTCCAGTGATAGCTCCCATCTAGAACAGGGAGCCAGCAACATCCTCTCTCTCTTGTGCGTGTGCGCTCGTCCACCTTCCTCCATCGACAAGTCGATGTATTACGATCCCATCCGTTGCTGCTATCCTCATGTTCCAAGCCAGGCATCTTGTGCTGCTTAGGGAGGCCTAGATCCACACCCTCCTCTTTGGATTTAGGGCTGCAATTGCCCAACATATGGTTTTCTAGGATGTTGCATTTTTTGTTTTTCTATGTTGCATCAGAAGATTTCTCATGTTTGCACAATAAATATAGATGTTTCAGTAGTTGGTCTCTCATGTCGATGCAATAAAACTAGTATCCCTTATTGAGCATATGGTGTTGCAGTAAGCAATGATTTTCTCATATTGATTAGAGATGGTGCATCTCTTTTATTTTGATGTTCCAGTAGTCGGCTATTGGATGTTACATTTTATTGGTTTTCCATGTTGCAGTAAACAAAATGAGATGTTACAATAAATGATTTATCATGTTGCAGTAATAAAACTGAGATAAAGTAATTGATTATTTTGACTACTGATTAACCATTTTTTTGTTGTTCCTAAGTGTAGCTTCTATTGTTGAGATTGAATCGGCTTTGATGTTGCAAACAAGGTCTTTTTTCTCCTATGTTGCAACATGTGCCTCTAATAGCAACTCATGGATATTGGGGCCAATGTCTAGATTTGTTTGGAGAATCTTTTGTTTGAAACATGTTGTGAGGGGATAGAAACTAATCATTTTGCTCTTATCTCTGGTTTCTACGAGATTTTTTTTTATGTTGCAGTACAAAATTTTATTTATCTCCCTCTTTTTCTTGTCTCTCTCATGTGCCGGATGTGTGCGACATCCGGCAGGCACATGGCAACATGAGAACCTAACCCGCCGTAGATGCCGCTTGAGCTCTCCTTGGGTCCGTCGGGACCGGCAAGGGATGGGGCATAGGTCGCTACAAGGGATGGGGCGGAGTGTCGTGCCGCACGCTCTGGTTGCATAGGAAGTCGTGCGGCAAGGGCATGCTCCACGCTCCTGTACGTTGCGGAGGTCGTATAATACGAGGGTGCTCGAATGACGATTGAGAGCTGTGTTTGGACGCCAGCTAAGGGCCAGATATCTGGGCGCTTGCAGCACCGATTTGAGATAGACTTATATGTGAACTTTGAAAATCGTGTAATCTCAAATTACAAGTCAAATAGCATAATCCATTAAGTATATTTTAATTTCTCGAAAATGAAGGGATCCAAACGCCTTAGACTTATATGATTACTAGGTAGCGTGCCCGTGCGTTGCTATGGGGTAACTAACAATTTATACTAAAAACACACGGATCGCACGATAAGATAACAATACTATGAAATTAAATACCCACATTAAAATGACATCAATCCAAAAAGCAAAGTTCGTAAAATTAACACGGTCACGAAGAGCACGGCATCGTAAGCTCACCAACTCTACTATATAGACCTTTCTAAATTTTTGTTGACTCAGATAATTAACAAATAAGCAATACCCCACCACATTTTTGTTGACTATTCACTGTGTTTTTTAAGAAAACATGTGATGGAGAGACATTGTTGGGTTTTAACTTTTTTTTACATCATCACTAATCCAATTGAAGAGAGAGGACCATAATTTTTTAAGAAAATCATGTCTATGAATTGTCACATTCTTAGAAAACTGAACTGGTTGTCATCGTCCTATTTTTGCCAGTAAAATTATCTAACCTTTATATGTATAACCTGAAAACTGAATTACTTGTCATCTTTCTATTTTTGCCAGTAAAATTATCTAAGCTTCATATTTATAACCTGGACTCAACATGGCCATGCTAAGACATAAAAAGTTACCTTAGTTACAATATCATTATATTAAGCTCAATAACATGGCAGCTGATTGTGCTCTGCATCAAGCATCAGTGTATCAATGTCAACCATTGACTCATCCTCTAGAGTTTACAAATGTAAGCCATGGCAATAAATTGTAACAATTCAAGGCAAGTTCAGTGAGAAATTTCTCTTTTTCAATGTTTAACTTCAGTGAGAAATCATCATTCTTTTTCTTGCCTGCCTACATCAGATTGTTCAAAAATAAACAAAGATCAATCCACAGACATTTTGCAGTGCAGAGATAACTTTGTGACCTGGCTTGGTGTTGCTGTTACGGGAACACCAATTCAGCGAGCGAGGTCTAGAGGTGCAAAGGCCTGATGCCAAACATCTGAATACCATCCAGTGTAATAAAAAAATTAGCAAACCAAAAATTCAGTGGCCATAAAAAAAGTTGACAAGAGAAAAGTATCTAATATATTTTACCAGTAAAGTATCTAACATTGGTACACCAAGCTCATGAATTGAGACTATCAGTAAATAAATAAGGCTCGAGCTACTTGAAACGAGATTGGTACATACAAAGGGCTAACTATGCTAAAAAACAATGGCATCCAAATGTGCAAGCACACAATATCGAAAAAATAGATGATTAACTATATAACAAGAACGTCTGCAGCATCATAAACTATGGTTGTGTAACATCATGAACGGCGAGCGATGGAGGATGGGCGATGTCAATCGGTCTACATATGCGAAGACGATGGCTCGGGTGCACGACTCAGGTGGCATCGAGGTAGCGGCGCGGTAGTCGAGGACGACGGCTCAGGTGCATGGCGCGGGTGAACGACGAGGACTACATCACGGACATCGTGGAGGCGGCGGTGTTTCCAGGTGCACGATGCAGGCGAACAGCGAGGACGACGGAGCGACGTCGTGGAGGCGGCAGTGTGGCGCACGAGGAGGATGATGGCACGGGCGCATAGACCAGATGATGGAGCAGGTCGTGGAGGAGAGATCGCACGGGGAGGTGATCTTGCGGCGACCTTGCGGCGATCGATGATGTAGCCACAGGTGCATCCATCGGTAGGCAGACGATGGATGATCCATTGCTGTTCTTCTCCACTACACGACGAGGAAGAAGTAGGGGCGACTCGATCGTGTAGGGGCTTGAGGAATGGGGTGTGCGACGATCGTCTCCGTACAGCGACCAGTGACGCGCTTGAGTCCTACCAAGAAGACGCGTTTGATCGTGCAGCGACGAGCGACGATGGTCTTCCGTGTTGGTAGCGCATGCAAATCAGTGTCAAGAATTTCATATTTGTGGCACGAGGGTGGTATGATCGAGCGTGAGATGTGGGTGGTCGCTTTCCTTATTTGAGGCAATTAGGGTCAAGACTTTCCGTGTTTGTAGCGCATGCAAATCAGGGTCAAGACTTTCCGTATTTGTAGCACATGCAAATCAGGGTCAAGACTTTCCGTGTTTGTCGCAAGAGGGCGGTGCATGCAGGAGATGTCGTCGGATCGCAAGCGTGGGCAGATGGACAAACCAAAACAAATATTACATAAAAAAATATCTATACTTTGTTCTTTTTAGTCGGAGGAGAGAGAGGAGATCGCTCCTACTTTGGCTAACCCATACATTTCGCTTCGACGGGAGCGGGCGCTCCCTGACGGACTGCTGAGTGCGTGTTTAGTTGAAAAAAAGGTCCAAAAAAGTGCTACAGTACTCATCACATCGAATCTTGCGATACGTGTATGGAGCATTAAATGTAGACGAAAAAAAAACTAATTGCACAGTTTGGTTGGAAATCGCGAGATGAATGTTTTGAGCCTAATTAGCCCATGATTGAATACTATTTATTAAATAAAAACGAAAGTGCTACGTTACGTAAATTCCAACTTTTTCTCTCACTAAACACAGCCTGAAGTGATGTGTGCTGTATGCACCACATGCTGCGTCAGCGACTCAGCGACAGCCGGGCAGGTGCCCGAAAACCGCAAGCACGGCTGACATCATTACCGGCTTCCCCCCAAACTAAGCCCATGTCCGCCGCCGCCGCCGCCCGCGCCGCGCGCCGGCAGTTCTCGTCTCGGCTCCAGACTACCACTACGCGCCTTCTCCATGCAAGTACGCGCTTTCTCTCTCGCTCCCTCACTCCTTTCGCCTATCTCTTCTGATCTCATCAGTCTGTACCGCTTCTGCCGCCCGCGTCAGATCGCTTTCTCATTCTCAACCCCACCGTGGCCTGCAGGTGATTCCCAGGCGGCGGCGCGGGACGCATCCGGGAGCTTCATCCACCCCGCCGCCGTCGTCCACCCCGATGCAGCCATCGGGCAGGTGAAGCCTCCCGCGTTCGCTCCCACGCACTGGTCGCTCTCGTAGAATGTGCAGTTCTGCACTTCAGTATATTCTGATGGATCCGCCGTTGCTTGGGTTGTTCTATTAGGCTCATGCAGTTGGCGTGCTTGCTACTTAATTCTGCTTGCCTGATACTGATGTTCACAATATAAGATGACACTTCCTGATTCCATCTACAGTTGCTTACTGGCTTATATGTTCAGTATTTTTAGTAGACTTCTTTTACAGTAAAAAAACTCAATTTTTGTTGGTGTCTGGAACCACTTTGCAGGGTGTCTCGATAGGCCCCTTTTGCACGGTTGGGCCTTCAGCCAGAGTTGGTGACGCCTGCCAATTACATGCCGGGAGCCATGTCGTGGGAGATACTGAGCTAGGGGAGGGATGCATTGTTCAAACGTGAGATAGCATCTTTTTCTCTCTTTTGCCTCCTGATTTGCGCCCCTTTTGTGAATAATATGTTGATGCTCACAGTGACCTTGATACAAAATCCATATTTGAACATATAATTGAAGCAAAGAAAGATACATTGGACGTTTTCTGTGAAACAAAACTACAACTAAATTAAGCATGGATTGCTGTCACCAACACATAGTTTGATATCATCACAACAGTGCATGAGATGGAGCTCCAGGTCCAGTATTTTGACTTAGGGATGTTTCACATAAGCAGTTGAAATAGTTTTTGTCTTGTTGCTTCTCTATCACTGGTGGAGTATCACTCCCTCAGTCCCTCCTGACTCTAGAGCACTTGAAAAGGACATTCGTGACAATTTTTTTTTGATGAAAAATAACAAAGGAGATTGAATTCACCATATAGAGTTGCTTGGCTCAATTACTTTGTTTCTTAACAGCTGAACCATAGGAAACAGCACTCTATGCCTGAATTTGCAAAATCAAGGATAACACATTCATATCGCAAACCCCTAATATACCTTACAATGTGATATGTGAACAACATGAATCTGTCTCAATTCATACTTTGGAATTTAATTTTCTGGCAGTGGTGCTATCCTTGGTGCTGATATCCCTGGGCGGACAATTATTGGGGAAAACAATGTCATCGGACACTATGCTGTTGTTGGTGCAAAATGCCAAGATTTGAAATATAAAGTTAGTTTTTTTTTTTAATATAGTCACTAGAAAGTTGGCAGGTTCTGTAATAAAATTGGCACATAGCACAAGACTTCACTTACCATTCATATAAAGTATGTCTATGAACTTTAAAACCAATGACTATTGCATTTTTGGACTAGTTATGGAAATGTTTAGGCTCACACATGCACACTTCTCATGTATAGAATGAGTATGTTGTTTGGCTACTTGAAATCCTTTTCTCTGTGCAAACTATTAATGTCTGTTTCCTCTTGTTTAGACTGGAGATGAATGCTTTCTACATATTGGTAGAAATAACGAGATCAGAGAGTACTGCTCTATTCACCGTTCTTCTAAATCTTGTGACTGCACGGTATTCGCATTTCTTGTTCGATTACAAGATTTTCACAGAGCTTATATCCCCTGTCTTACTCAAGGGATCTGTTTGGCAGGTTATTGGTGACAATAATCTCGTTATGGGTTCGTCCCATATAGCTCATGATTGCAAGATTGGTAACAATAACATCTTTGCTAATAATACTCTATTTGCTGGCCATGTAGTTGTTGAAGTGAGTAATAATTTTACTATGGTAGCTTCTTCTCATCAACTGGCTTGAGAGACCATTTGTGTACTAAAAAGTATTTTTTTCAGGACTGGACTCACACTGCAGGGGCTGTTGTTGTCCATCAATTTTGTCATATTGGGTCATACTCATTTCTTGGCGGAGGCTCTGTGGTATGTTTTCTATATAAATTTGATCTGCATTACTTACTGCAGAACTTTATGGTAAAAGTGAAACTTCATGTAGTTTTACCAACCATGCCTGAAAACTATGAAAAATAGTACTCTCACAAAATAAAAATGGGTAATTAGGAACCAGGAGAATCAGCATGCACTTGATGTAGTGTTTCCTTAGGAATAGGTACATGATTACCTGGAGTTCACGGATTATCAATTATGCTGTATTTTCTCACCAAGGGGGCTCTCAGCCTCTCACAGTTAATATCATTTATTTAATAGTTGTTTCCTCAGTGTTTTCTTTCCCTCTATCTGCTTATTGAAGCCTGACTGAATTGTAGCTCTCACTTTCTTGAAGTTGCCACCTTGTGATGACACTTACATTGTTTAACCTTTTTTAATATCAAGTTTATTTATATGCTATCAGAATTCATTCAATCAATTTGAATCAGGTTGCACAAGATGTGCCAAGGTACATGATGGTTGCAGGTGATAGAGCAGAGCTCCGCTGTCTGAATATTGAAGGTCTCAATCGCAATGGATTCTCCGACCAAGAGGTTTTCATATAGCATTGAAATTTGGAGTCCTTATTGATAAAATGCGATTGTTCACAGTACTTAGCTTCGTTTGGTAATTGAATCAGAGTTTTTGGGAGGGTATATGCAATGTCTTATATGTTATATTCATTGGTCTCAGTAGATGTTTAACTATGTTATCAGAGTCCATGTTTCTTCACACTAGACCTGCTAGTTGCTTGGTGCCTTAGGGCTTATTCAATTTGGAGGTTTTTTTTAGTTTATTTCCCCCTTAATCCCATGGGGAAAGTTTTAATTGAACAGGACCTTATTGGAAAGACGACGACAACAACAACAACAAAGCCTTTTAGTCCCAAACAAGTTGGGGTAGGCTAGAGTTGAAATCCAACAGAAGCAATCAAGGTTCAGGCACATGAATAGCTGTTTTCCAATCCCTCCTATCTAAGGCTAAGTCTTTGGGTATATTCCATCCTTTCAAGTCTCCTTTTATTGCCTCTACCCAAGTCAACTTCGGTCTTCCTCTGCCTCTCTTCACGTTACTATCCTGGCTTAGGATTCCACTACGCACCGGTGCCTCTAGAGGTCTCCGTTGGACATGTCCAAACCATCTCAACCGGTATTGGAAAGACATTTGGGAATAATGAAACTTTGGTCATAAACAAAATTTCCAATGCATTTTTCAAAAAGTAAACCACATCCTTAATTACACTATGGCCTAGAAGTTTGCAACTATTTACATTTTGGCTATCTTATAAGATTGTAAGATTGACATGGAATCTTCATAAATCAAGGTCCGTAGGTTGAGGAAAGCTTATCAGAAAGTATTTATGCCAACTATTACTAACAGGAGTAGCTTTGAAGACAGACTGGCTGAATTGGTACGCATACTTGCTCATCGTTTTGTTTTTACCTTCATGTGTGCATGTATTTATTTAAATGCGTATCAACAGGAGCAGGACATTGAGTTGTCAGAATCTCCTGCTGTATCCTGCATGGTTGAATCGATCCGCATGTCGTTTGTTCAAGGACGTCGAGGGATTTGCAAATTCAGAAGTTGGAACAGCTCGTGAATGTGCCAATTCTTAAATTTGCCTTGCAGTTACCTCAGACATTACTTAGGTAATTTGATGCAGCGTTGTTACTTTTTGGTGTTGCATGAATTGTGACAGGGTGGCTTTCAAACTTTTTCGGTTATAATAAAATCCTGAGCAGGGAAAATCAAGGTAGGGTGGCATTGAGGACAAATCTCTGCATCTTGAAACCGCAGTACTGCACAATTCTGGAGATCAATGAATTGTTTTTTGACGGCAAATTAATGAATTGTTTTTCCCTATTATTTGCAAAAACTTTGCGCTCTTTATATTTTCTGCAACTCAATTTAGTTAAGCTATGTATCTTGGATGCAAATATGTAATATGTACATGTACTACCTCCGGTTGCGAGAACTTTGTCGTCGTGACCAACAATAACAAATTGAAATGTTGATTACGATCAGAAGCTTATCTTGACCGGAGGTAGTAATACAGTGTATGTCTGAAGCTTTGCTGCAAAGACTGAAATCTTAGTTTCTGTTTGCAGGTGCATATTCAATTTTGCCATCGATCTACTATACCCGAACAGATGGATACATTGCCAAGACCCTGAACCTGAAAATTGGATTAGGTAATCTATGTCAAACATGGGTGACCAACAAGATGTTCTTCGCATCCATGTATGGGACAATCTAGAAGCCCCGTATATGTATGAATTTTCACCGTTCCCCTAGTTGTGCTAATTTAAAAGGAATCCTAGATTTGTGCAGAATGTACATGTTGGCCTGGATCACGGGTTCAAATCTGTATAATATTCCCATAATTGCACCAAACTTTGCAGCGATTATTCTTGGGGATAAGGAGTCAATCTTTCTTGACAAGCGATGCATGGCCAGTTTTAGGGCATGTTCTCGTAACCAAATAACTCTCATACGCTTGAGTAGCATTTGTCAGAAAAAGCTTATACAAAACATAAGAATATAGGACGGCTTAAGGCCTGGTTACAAGAAGAAAGAGGATGCATTGGAAATTTTCTCAAAGAACGAAGAATAAATATCAGTTTTCAATGTAGAGCGGAATCGAAAGTTGTTGCCGTGGTGTAGTGGTTATCACGTCAGTCTTGCACACCGAAGGTCTCTAGTTCGATCGTGGGCGGCAACAGTATTTCTTATATTTTCTGTGTGGGCTTTTAGCTTCTGTTCTATTTCACTTTTTCTTTTTTCATGCGTACTTGGAAGTTGCAAGTGTCCATTTGTTTTTTGTTTTTTGTTTTTGTCGTGAAGGTGATGTTCTTTGTGAACTCTGGGATGAGATGTTCTTTTGTGAACTCTTCGTTTTTTTAGCGAGAGCATCACCGAAGGTCTCTAGTTCGATCGTGGGGGCAACAGTATTTCTTATATTTTCTGAGTGGGCTTTTAGCTTCTGTTCTATTTCACTTTTTCTTTTTTCATGCGTACTTGGAAGTTGCAAGTGTCCATTTGTTTTTTGTTTTTTGTTTTTGTCGTGAAGGTGATGTTCTTTGTGAACTCTGGGATGGGATGTTCTTTTGTGAACTCTTCGTTTTTTTTAGCGAGAGCATATATATCGGTAGTTTCATATCTTTCTTGCTATCACATATTCACATACGGTACCATTTATCTTCTCTCCCTCTCGATGTAGTTAACACCTATCATCTCTCTATGTACTGTATCGATAGTTTCGTCGTTTCTTTGTTCTTCAGTGGAAGAAAGTCACGTTAAGAGGAGAATACATGCACATGTCACGCTAAATGATCACACACGCCGCTCCTAGATAGGAGCTGCTCAAAACAAGCAATATCTTTTTGGACGTCGTTGGTGAGAAGCACTTCTGGAGACGACCTCTTTGCCGAGGGCTTCTGGGTTTGCCGAGGGCTAGATCTCGGACACTCGGCAAAGGGGGTCTTTGTCGAGGGCCAGCCCCAGGAGCCCTCGGCAAACAAACGGCCCTCGGCAAAATAAATCTTTACCGAGGGCCTAGCCCTCGACAAATTGACCCTCGGCAAATATGGCCGGATGGGTCACGGCGGTCACTGGCGTCAGTTTTTGCCGAGTGCCCGCCGTCAGGTTTAAATATTCTATGCCGAGGGCTATTGTCCAGGCCCTCAGCAAAGATTTTTTTATTTTTTTTAAATATTCTTTGCCGAGGGTCATTGGGTAGGCCCTCGGCAAAGACCCCCTTTGCCGAGGGCCAGGCTAGACCCTCGGTAAAGAGTTTTTTTTTGTTTTTTGAACCTAATTTTTTTGTGGTGCTATAATACATTATTTAAAACTCAATTTTAAAATTTGGGCCAAATTTGACTTTTTTTATATATTTCCCTAATTTATTTCTTTTCGTTGATTTTTTTCAATATTTTAAATTTGAACTGCAGGTGGATGGAATAATGCAATTTAGTGATTCAAAAAATGTTATTCATGGTATTTGGTGTATGTTGAGTCCCTATCCATGAACTCGCATCAAATTTCGGGCATCTTCTTCACGTAACATGACGAGAAACTTGTCGGGAAAGTGTTTTTAAATTATATAAAATCCATACGAAGTCCGAAAATCATAAAACTTGTCGAGGTGTCATGTTATCGCATATGTAGGTTGTGGTAAAAATTTGAGAAGGTTTCGAGCAAGTTGTGACGTCGGATGCCTAAAACTCAGACATCTCCACATGTGATCACCGCGAGAGTCGGCTGGAGGTAGACTCTGGTGATGGTCAGAAAAAGCAGCTTTCGATCCCCACGAGAGTGCTACGGCACCTTCCTTTCCTGCCGAGGATCCAACGGCTATTCATGATCGAGAAATCCGCGAAATAGATGACATGGCACAAAGATGACAAATGGTACAATCCTGGGAAGATGGTACATCCGTCTGATGCTGAAGCATGGACGAACTTCAATGACAAACATCGTGACAATGCAGCTGAGGCCCGTAATGTATGTGTCACGCTGGCAACAGATGGGTTCAATCCTTATGGAATGATGGTTGCCCCATACACATGCTAGCCCGTTTTTGTTATCCCCCTCAATCTCCCTCCCGGCATCTCCTTTCAATGGCATAACGTATTCTTGTCGTTGATAATTCCTGGACACCCGGGGAGTAATATGGGTGTGTTCATGGAGCCTGTGATTGATGAATTGATCCATGCTTGGAAGAAGGGGGTATGGACATACGACCGAGCTACAAAGACAAGCTTCAAAATACATGTTTGGTACCACTACTCCCTGCATGACTTCCTAGCGTATGGGTTATTTGCCACCTGGTGTGTTCATGGGAAGTTCCCATGCCCAATATGCAAGAAAGCTGTGAGGTTCATTTGGTTGAAGAAGGGTGGCAAGTATTCGTCGTTCGACCAGCATCGTCAGTTCCTCCCTCTAGACCATGAATTCAGAGAAGACATCAAGAGCTTTACGAAAGGTGTCAGAGTGACAGACCCTAAACCGCACTTGAGGACTGGTGCCGAGGTTCGTGCTCAGATAGATGCTCTCGTGCCCAATGAAGAAGGTGGTTTTGTGGGATATGGTGAGGAACATATGTGGACTCATAAGTCCAGCTTGACGAGGCTCCCCTATTTTGATGACCTTCTTCTGCCACATAATATTGATGTAATGCACACTGAAAAGAATATCGCCGAGGCACTTTGGGGAACTCTCATGGACACTGACAAGTCTAAGGACAACGTTAAGGCTAGAGTGGACCTAGCGACGTTGTGCGATAGACCGAATCAAGCGATGTAGCCTCCTAGTTGCCGAAACAAGAACTGGAAAAGGCCTAAGGTCAATTTCGTCTTGCAAATCGATCAAAGGAGGGAAGTACTAAAATAGATCCAGACGTTAATATTCCCAGATGGATATGCAGTGAATCTTAGTAGGGGAGTGAACTTAGGCACTCTGCGAGTCAACGGGATGAAGAGTCATGACTACCACATATGGATTGAGCAGCTTCTTGAGGCGATGGTCCGAGGCTATGTCCCTGAGCATGTTTGGCTAGTGCTGGCAGAGTTGAGCTTTTTCTTTCGCCAGCTTTGTGCCAAGGAGATATCTCAGACCGTCGCTCAGGACTTGGAAAAAGCGGCACCTGTGTTGCTCTGTAAGCTGGAGAAGATCTTTCCACCCGGCTTTTTCTTACCGATGCAGCATCTGATTGTGCACCTCCCGTCTGAGGCACGTTTGGGGGGGGCCGTGCAGGCCCATTGGTGCTATCCAATCAAGAGATGTCTAAAGACTCTTCGCAAAAAATATACAAATAAAGCCATAATTGAGGCTTCCATTGCAGAGGCATGCCTTCGGGAGGAGGTGGCAAACTTCACAACGCAATACTACAAGCCGAACCTTCCTAGCAATCATAATCCACTCCCTCGTTACAATGCTGGCGAAAATGAATCGACCCTCAGCCTTTTCCAAGGCCAACTCGGCAGCGCAAGTGGATCAACCTAGAAGCTATTGGGAAATGAAGAGTGGCGCAGTATCATGCTATATGTGTTGAATAACCTTACCGAGGTGTAGTCGTTCATCAAGTAAGTTCTCAACGAACTTGTTTCAATACGCCGTCACTATTCTGCATCCAACCCCATTGATTCTCGTTCGGACAGGGAATTTGTTCGTGAATTCTGGCATCAATCAAGGGATCCTACCTCGCATGAACAAGACACCCTTGTTTCGCGGGGTGCGGGAGTGGGGAGGCCTGATTTCATTTCTTGGTTCAAACAAAAGGTAATGTCCAATTTAGCTCGTACGTTCGATCGTCCAAGGTGATCGTACGTTTGATTAATATAACGATCTATCATGCTTCACCTTGCAGGCCCAGACCGGTTCGTCCATGAGTGACGAGTTGAAACAGGTTGCAAACGGCTGTGACGTTAGGGTGAAGTCGTTTACCGGCTATGACGTGAACGGATATCGCTTCCACACAATAAGTTACAAGCAGATTCAGCCCAAACGAAAAACCACAAATAGCGGAGTTTGTATGCCTGGCACTGATGGCCTCGACTATCATGGTAGAGTTGAGGAAATCTATGAACTCTCATTTCATGG